CCCCGTGATCTGTGGGGGACTGGATGGCGGTTCCCTGGGAGTGTGTGAAGCTGCGACTTCCTAGTGAAACAAGCAGGCTCATGCTCCCCAGTTGATTACGTGCAATAATGTCTGATTCCCTTTTCTCCGTTCCTTTGTTAATATCTAACCGCCTATGCTAACACTAGGAATGACCTAATAGACCCATTCTTTTTAAAAGGCTTTCAGCCATGGAAGTTAACAATTTTTGTTTAACAGGACATAACAGTCTTAAATGTTTATGCACCTAATAGCAGAACTTCAAAATACATGAAGCAAAAACTAAAGAACTTCAAGGAGAAATAAACAAATTTACAACTACAGTTAGAGATTTCGGTATACTCCCCTTTCAGTGCTTGATAGAACAAGTAGGCAGAACATTAGAAAGGATATAGTAGGCAGATGTGAACAGCACTATCGAGCAACTTGACCTAATGTTAGAGACCACTCCATGCAACATCAGCAGACTATGCACTCTCTTCAAGAGAACAAGGAACATTCATCAAGATAGACAGTATTCTGGGCCATAGACCAAATTTCAATAACTTTGAAAGCATTCAAATCATACGAAGTATGTTCTCTGACCACATGCTATTAAATTAGAAATCAGTAACAGAGTGATCACTAGAAAATCCCCAAATATTTGGAAATGAAATAACATGCCTTTAATTTTACTATGATCTTGATGGGTGGGGAGGTCTTCAGCTATAATGTAGGTCACAGTCTAAATCTAGGGTAACTGGCATAGAAGAAAGAAAAACTGTGAAAACTTGGTTTTCTAGTGTAAAGGAAATATAGATAAGAGTTACCTAAGTGTTAAGTTTGGAGTTCAGGTAGAGCAGTCTTTCGGGGCTCATGATCAGCATATCGGCAGGGATTTGGTGTGGATCCATTCCCTTCACTCCCAGTTTCCCAGTCACCTGATTCCCAGGAGTAGATACTCTTGGAGATGCTAATAATTTTGCAAACACATTAATGGGTCTACATGGGACCAATTATTTTGAATTTCTGGCCAGCCTCCTAAACCCTCATCAATGAATATACATCACCCTTCCCAGCTGTGAGCTGTTGGGCTGCCCAGGGGAAAAGATGACTCTGAGGTGTCCCCTGCCAGTATGGGATCAGTCGAGAGGAACTTGCTGGGAGTGGGGCTGCCTCCCTCCTCTCACCACGTGAGAGGTTAAAGTCAGTAGAAGACTCTGATCCCCAGATTCACTCTATGGACCCAATGAGTCTGGCTTTATCTTTACTGTTTTTCTACTGAGGGCTTGTGTTCTGACCCCCAGAGCAATAGTTCTGCCATCCAGTCACGTGCTGTGCTGGAATTAAGTGGTTTGCTTAAGAACACCTCAAGCAACTTTGAAGGAGGAAACTCTCTGGTGTTTGATTTTCATCAGGTAATAATCAGATTTTTGGGAATTGTTAACTCCTGATACATATTCTATAAGCAAGAGAATGTCCAGGACAGCCATGCTATCCACAGGCTGTCTCTCCCAGGACATGGACAATTCTAGCAAGTTAAAAAGAACATTTACATGTGGCTCAGGAAGATATGTGCACTCCTGAAGGTACCCCATGGTTTAGTGTTTCTCAAACAGTGGTTCATATACCACCTGTTTCAGAGTCACCAGATTTAGGGGCCCAGCTACAGACTTTTGGAATAAATAGGTCTAATTTCTGAGGCAGGGACCTAGAATTTGCAGGTTCTTCAGTGAATCTTGGGCAATGCACCTCAGTGTTTAAGAACCATTGTGTGGATCACTGTTGCTCAGAGGCACCAGCTGCTCCCTCTGGCTGCCTCTCTCTGTGCCCCACTCTGCTATCCCAGGGAGAAGGCGAAGAGGCGGGGGTAAAGAAAGCCCCTTGCTGACGCCTCCCTCATCTACAGGCCCCAGGCATCTGCTCCCGCTCCCAGGCACTTCACTCCCCAATTCATTTCCCCGTAAGACTTATCTTTATGTTTTCTTCCTAGTTTTCATTCACGGGTACAAACTGCAGCTAACAGAAATAGCAGTTATCCCAGCATCCTTTGAAAAACGGTCAATTTCTCCATAGTTTATTGCTTGACTAACTCTATATTCAGAATAATTTTGAATTTAGTGCAGATTGAAGAAGAGGGAAGAGAGGAAAGGATAAGAAAAAGAAGATTGGATTTAAACAAAGTAATAAATCTGAGGGCCTGATCAGTGATCTACTGTATTACCCACCACCCTACCCTATCCCATCTCACCTCCCCACCTCATCTACTCTACCTTGAGTACTGGCCAAATTCCTTGTTTATTTTTTTTTTATTTAAATAGTACAAGTTTTTTATACTACAGTTTCAGAGGTTAGAAGTTGATATGTGGTTCCCAGGACCAAACCCAAATGAGCCCCATGTCCGTAAACATATTCAGATCTTCTTCTATGTCCTTTCTTAGAGTTTTAAAATTCTCTCCTTGGTAGTCTTGTGTATTGCTGGTTGTTCATTCCTATATACTTTTGTTACAGAATAAATTAGGAGGTCCAGTTTCCCCCATACTAGTCAGTGTGGGATGGCTCTTGTGATATCTTCAGAAAATGAATTTTCTAAGATTCCCATAGGAGAATGATTGGTTTTTACTGGCGTGGAGGCACATGCCCTGGGCTGTAAAGCCCACGCCCCTTAACGCAGTCCTGCAAAGGTGCAGCTGGCAGTTCAGCAAAGCCGAGAGCAAGGCCAGTGTCCAGAGCTTCCTTCCATGTTGCAGCCGGACCCAGTCCTGCATCAGGTTAATTAAAGTCCATTAGTCCATTATGTGGAGTCCCCATGGCCACATTCCTTGTTTTCTCTGCTTTTGTCCATTCTTTTAATCAGAGAGATGCTTGCAGACCCGTTACCCACACTGAAACAGTCCGGTGAGGAAAGAAGATGTGAAACTGGGTCTCAAGAAGTTCTACTCCACTCTTAACCATTTCTCAACTTCCTTGAAGGCACGGTAAGTTTTTCCATACTAGGATTTTTACAGTCATTTCTCTGAAGTCCTTGTAATTTGCCTTGAAGCTGAGTTGACTTTTGATACCGATGGGGCCAATGACATTTGCAACCCAAATTTAGAGCTGCCACATCACCGCAGTAGGGGGGTTTATTATAAATTAGCAGCCGTTGGGTTAAGAATGACTGAATGTTACATCTCAGAGACATCAAATAAATCAGAGTTATGCTTCGCGTGCTCCAAAAGAAGTTACCAATGTTCTGTGTTCAAATTTGCGCTCATGTTTTGTTTTGTTTTTATCCTCAACTGGGGATATATTTATTGGCTTTAGAGAGAGAGGAAGGGAGAGAGAGAGCGAGCTGGGGGTGGGGGGAGAGAAGCATCTGTGTGAGAGAGAAACATCAATTGGTTGCCATCCGTACGTGCTCCTACCAGGAACTGAACCTGCAACCTAGGTTTGTGCCCTGACCAGGAATCGAGCCTGTGACCTTTCAGTATATGGGTAACGCTCCAACCAAGCTGCACCAGCCAGGGCATTGCTGTTCTTTTCTTTTCTTATTTTATTTATATATTTTTTATTGTTCAAAATATTACAGATGTCCCCTTTTCTCCCCATTGACACCTTCCACTCCCTACTCACTCCCCTCCCCATGTTGTTTCATTTTATTGATCATGTTTAGTTTTGTGTTGGGTCTATCTCCCCAAGGAGAAAAATCAAAGCTAACATTCTTTGAATTTTTTCATGTGCCAGGCTTTAAGTGCTTTACATGGATTAACTCATTGACTTGTTACAACAGCCTTTTGAGATTAATGCTATTATCCCTATTTTACAGATGAGAAAACTGAAACTCAGGTCAAATAACATTCCCAAGGTAACACAATAGGTCTCGGCTTGGAACCGTGACAGTCTGACACTGGGGCCTGTGCATTTAAACACGAAATAAACTGTCTCTAAAATATAAACTTCCTGAGGTCAGACACTCTTGAACTTCTGACAGGGGAACACAGAGCTAAGCATGTGGAAGGCTGTCAATATATATTTGGTGAGTAACTGTTTCATTATTTAGAATTTTTTAAGATTCCTAAGAGACCAAACTGTGTATAAATATTTTTAATATTTTCCATTGGTGCTCAAGTAATGCTTCCTAACTAACCAGCCAACAAGTAGAGAAGACCTTCTCTATGACTGAGTTCCACTTACGAATCCAGACTTCCTCAGTGACATTAATCTGT